CCCATATCTTCAGTGAATCTTCTTCTACGACGACGCATCCATCATTCTCAGATTTAATTACCCCAATTTGAGAAATGGGGTTTAGGAAAAGCCCGAAAGAGAAACTTGGATAAACCAGCGAGCAAGGGGAAACATTCTGATTTGAATCCTCTGTTTCGCGTTGGAGACAAAAGGGTATTTGATTTCGTCTGCTACAAGAAGGATGAGCCAAGATTGGTGGCTGAGGAGGGGTAGAACTGAGGATTGCCGGTTCGGATTTATTAAGGTTAGTGATGATTCTTGTTGTGGCAGATTGAAATTGGTTCTTCAGAGCTTTCCGAAGAATTGAAGCCATTTGGAGTAACAATTCAAGAACCACCAAAAAGAGAAAGGAAAAATAACAGAGAATTGCATCCGCTAGGGTTTTGCCAAAAAGGAAGACGTAAAAGTTTCAAAAATAAATATATGCCCCCATGCAGGATCGAACTACAGACCTTCAGTTTACAAGACTGACGCTCTACCACTGAGCTATACAGGCTGTGTTCTTTGCTCTGAAAAAAAAGTTAATTATTCAATGAATTAAATAAATATCGTTCCTCTTCTTTCATGTTAAAATTTTTTAGTTGGTGGGATAAGAATAATAATTTTGGTCATAAGACTATTATAAGGCAAATTTGGTAATATGTGTTACCTAGTCCTACGATTATTTTATATAATCGTGAAATAAGTTATCTCATATAAAAGGTGAAATAAAATAATCTCATAGAATATCCTTGTCTATCTCATCCCACCAACTAAACGACCTTTAAAAGGGTAAACAAAAGGGGATACTTGAGTCATATTCATTATGAATTAAGTTTAACCACCTCTCATTTTAATAACACCAAACAACATGATTTGATTCATTTAGATGATAAATTAAGTTTAGAGTGCATATTAGTTAAATTAAGTGATACTAAAAGTTAATGTAAATATCAAACGAGTTTATTATATCTTCTTCCTGTATAAGCCTAAATAAGACGATTTGTTATGGCTTGTAATTAATTAAGCCAGTCCATAAAGTGAAGTTAACAGAATTTCAGCACATGATTTGTGGTTACTAATTACAAATTGGGCTTATACAACAAATAAAAATAAAAATGTAACACAATAATATACCCACGTTTACTACAAATTGAATTGAATTACAATTACAATGTATGAATACAAATTTATTCATGCACTGGTTTAAAGTTTCTATAAGCTATAACTGCGTAAAAAGGATCAGATGAAGCTGATAACAACCCAATCAACTGCATTATTTTACTCAGAGGTGATTTATTTTCTTGATCATCATTACTTGGTAATTTACGAATCACTTCTGGCTCTGTAAATCCCTTAATACATTGAAAATATTGTACCACAAGTTGCACTCTTCCGTACCCTGAACTGTCCCTCCATGCACTAATTGCTTTATCGTAGAACAATCTGTTACTGAAACTTACAATAAACACTCCTCCAGGTCTTAGAATTCGAAATACTTCTGCAAAAACCTGAAATTTAATAGTAACATTGTATTATAGGGATTATTAATACAATGATCAACATAGAAACTAAACATTGTGTTCTTGTGATGCATGATTTAGTACTAATATATCTAACTAACTTTTTCTCCATATCTTTGGATTTTGTGTGGCTTATAATGAACCACACATCTTGCAACAATATCTATGTGGTTGTGGTAACACTTGATTCTATCCTCTCTTCCAAATCATCAATCATTATAATCCAATTAAGGGATCATTTAGGCTAATACATCATACACCATAAGGCTTAAGATTTCAAAAAGAAATGACTAATCACCATCTAATTAATTTAGGGTAATGACTGACCTTCTCAGGCTGTTGAAGATACTGCACACTAACAGTACATAAAACAGCATCAAAACTGCAATTTTCAAACTGAAGTTTCTCATCTTCATTCAAATCCTTCACAAAGAAATAATCCAATTTGGGATTTTTGGCAAGCTCTTGGGCATTAAGTCCATGACCTACCACCTTTTTGTACTTCACTTCTTGTGGTAAATGACTCACCCATGAGCTCATAAGGTCAAGAATCTCAAATTCAGGCCTCAAACATTTCCTATAAAAACAGGGGAGTCCAAACGTTAAATTGGATCAATAACATATGTCTAGTATATTTTGACACCCTTACCGGTAAAGATTTGTTAAATTGGAAATGAAACGATCATCGACGTGTGTGACGAATCTTGGAAAGGCATAAAATTCCCTGTCTGGTAAAATGTTAAGTTTGGTTCTTCCTTGTTGAGTAAGTACCATGCGTTTGATTTTTCCTGCTGTTGATTTCGTAGAATTGTTGTTATCTTCATTTTTATAATAGGCTTTTGGAATTATTATTGAGGGCTGTGTTTTTAATTTGGATGGAAGAGGAAACAAGTGTAAGTTTGAGGATTCCCATGTTTTGGGATGGGAATTTGGAGCTATGGTGAGAAACATGTCTAATTTTGACTTTGATGAACACACACATCAATTTATCATTTTTATTTGGGCTTTTTGGTGTTTTAAATTGTTCAAATTAACTTTTTTGGCCCATAGGTAATTTGGACTGGTAGCCCACGTCCCTCAAGACTGCAGGGCTGAAATCACAGTCAAAATTTAAAAGTTTTAACTTTCAAAATATGCCATGTAAATTAGAACAATGTGGAGTTCTAGTATTTTCCTTTTGTATTGACAAAATTCTTTTTTTTTTTCTAGAGTTTGTTTCTTTTATATTGAAAAAATTCTCTTCCTTTTTGGAATTTAAATAATAATAATACCACACATTTTCTTAGTATGTTGTATATTTGATTGGTGAAGTAGATCGAGTCAATAAAATAATTTAAATGGTATCTTATTATTTTTTATAAAATTAAGTTTAAAATAAAAAATATATATTTGAAATATTTATTGAAAAAAATTATTTAAATTGCATGGGTGACCTTTCAAGTGAAATATCAATAGTTGAATGACTTTGAAAATAAAATAAAGGCATGTAACCTTTTAAGTGAGCTACTAATCTGCGATTTTTGAGTTATAAAATAAAATTAAGTAACGAAATCATTCGAAGTTTGAGTCAACAGAAGAAGAAAGTCCATACTAGAATTGTACAAATAATCTTTGATATGATGTAGATAAGATAGTATTAATTACCAACTTATCTAGGCATGGACTATAGGCATATATAACTAAATGATTATTGCTACTTAACAGAAGAAGAAAGTCCATACAAGAATGGTACAGATCTGATGTAGATGCGATAGTTTAAATTACCAACTTATCTAGGCATGGACATAGGCATATATAACTAAATGATCACTGCTACTTTAGATTATGCGACTTTTAAGTTATAAAATAAAACAATTGATTGGTGAAGTGGATCAAGTCAATAAAATAATTTAAATGAGTGTCTTATTATTTTTTTAATTAAAATTAAGTTTAAAACAAAAATTATATTTCAAAAAAATTTAATGAAAAAATCAATCAAATTTGTTGGGTGACTTTTTAACAGTTCATTTCTTCTTTTTTTTTTTTTTACATTTTCTTTACAAGCTTTAGTTTTTTCTTTTTGATGACAAAGGAAATCCGCAGGCGCAACCACATAGGAGAGGTAACCCGCACCAGGCTTGCCTGGTGCGACGAGCTCAACCCAGAGGCAAACTCCTTACTTTCGTTGGCAAGGGGTTTTGAACTTGAGACCTCCAACATGGAAGTCCCAATCTCAAACCACGGGGGTCACCCCAAAGGATTTTACAAGTTTTAGTTATTCATTCTTAAAAATAAAATTTCCATCTTATTTAGCTTAAATATTTTTATGTGTGTATTTTCATGATTGTGCTGTGTGTTTTTAAAATAAAATTTCATCCTATTTAACTTTAAAATAAAACATACATTTTATTTAGCTTAAAAATAAAATTTCCATCTTATTTAACTTAAAAATAAAACTTTCATCTTATTTAGTTTAAAAATAAAATTACCATCTTATTTAGCTTAAAAATAAATCTTTCATATTAAGTTTATTAAAGTAAAAGAAAATTTATTATTAAAGTTATCTACATTTTAATTGATATATAAAATATAATTTTTAAATGAGAAATAAACTAATTAATATGTAATTTAGTGGAGTGAACATTTTAAGAGAAATCAAAATATAAATAAACATAAGAATTAGGCAAATAAATTCAATTTATAATATATTCATAAATAAAAATTGTATTTATAAAATGTAATTTTTCAATAGAAAAATATATTATCACATAAACAACGAATAATTAAGGTTGTGAATGTTATTATAAATGTTATTAAAAATTAGTATGTTAATATATGAATGTAAAAGTGAGGTATAAAAGAGAGTTTAAGAGGGGGGGGGGGGTTATTATTTTACATACTTTATCCCAAATAAGTTATCTTGGGGTTACTATTCCACCTCCAATGAGGGATAACTTATCTCAGGACTAATTGTTAATCCTGAGATAAGTTATTTGAGCCTTTGCAACCAAACAATAATTAAAGGCTACTCAAAAGTTGTCCCGGGATTAAGTCCTTTTATTCATCACATCAAACGATCCCTATGTGAAATAACAATAGTTGAATGACCTTGAAAATAAAATAAAGTTAGGTAACTTTTAAAGTAAGCTACTTCAAATTATAGGACTGTTAGTTATAAAACAAAATTAAGCAATTTTATAAGAGAATCATTCAAAGTTGAGTCAACAGGAAAAAGAATAATTAAGATTGTGAATGTTATTATAAATGTTGTAATTAAACATAAACTATTAATTAAAAATATGTAATTTAGTGGAGTGAACATTTTAAGAGAAATTGAAAGATAAATAAACATAAGAATTAGGCAAATAAATTCAATTTATAATATATTCATAAATTAAAATTGTATTTATAAAAATATAAACAACGAATAATTAAGGTTGTGAATGCTATTATAAATGTTGTTAAAAATTAGTTTGTTAATATATGAATGTAAAAGTGATGTATAAAAGAGAGTTTAAGGGGAGTATTTTTGTTATTATACATACTTTATCTCAGGATAAGTTATCATGGGATTACTATTCCACCTCCAGTGAGGTACAACTTATCCAGAACTAATTGTTAATCATGAGATAAGTTATCCGAGCCTTTGCAAACAAACAACATATTAAAAGCTACTTAAAGTTATTCCGAGATTAACCATGACACCAAACGATCCCTAAATGAAATAACAATGGTTGAATGACCTTGAAAATGAAATAAAGTCAATAACTTTTCAAGTAAGCTACTTCAAATTATAAGACTTTTAGTTGTAAAACAAAAGTAAGCAACTTTATAAGGGAATCATAGTCAACAGGAAGAAGAAAGTCAATACAAGAATTGTACAGATAATTTTTTATCTGAGGTAGATGAGACATGTTATAATTAGCAACTTTTCTGGGCATGAGCTATAGGCCTATATAAGTAACTGATTGCACAAGGCAGGATAATCCCATGCTCCAAACAAAATTATTAGTACTGAAGAATTTGTTTCATCATGATTTTGCCCCTTCCAGTGATATTGGCTTTCTTGTTTGGTACTGTAATTTTTGTGTTAAACTTAATCTTTCAGCATTTCTTCTTAGTTCATAAGCATGACCATAAAGGATTACCTAATGGGAGCATGGGTTTGCCCTTGATTGGAGAGACATATGGCTTCTGCACCCCTCATAAATCATTCTCCATTGGCAATTTCTTGCAACAACATTGCTCTAGGTATGTACTTCATCATATATACTTTCATGCAAAATCTTATTATCATGTGTGGCAAATGGGCTTGTTTGATCAAATTTAATTGGGGAAGATTAAAGACAGGTTGGACTGAATTTGCATGAGCCAATAGGTTGTTGATCCACTCAAAAGTTACTTGGTTTCAAATGGGCTAAGAAATGGCCGGTTAAAACTCAAGTCGCCCACTTAATTATTACTCTAATTTAGTTGCTTTATTTATTTTTTTATAATTTTTTAGTAACTACTAAAATTATTACTTACTTTTCTTTATTACGACTATCTATCGAATAAAATTGTTATGATGCGTGGAAAATGGCGGAAAAAAAAGTCAACAATAAATAAAAGAGAAATAAATAGAATATAGAAAATCATTGAATTTGTTTGCTCCGATACAAGAAATCTGCCCTGAATAAGGCAGATAAGGCGCAAGAACATTGTTTGATCAAATTTAATATCCAATCTTCTGTATATAAATACATTTTCATCCATTATATTACACCATTTGACACGTTTTGACCCAACCTATTTAACCTTAGATAAATTAAACGAATCATATATAACTAAAAATAAGTTTATTTTTTTCCATCGCTAACGGTGTATATTATGTTGATTCTATTTCAGATATGGGAAAATATTCAAATCCAACATATTTGGGGCTCCAACCATTGTTTCATGTGACTTGGAGCTCAACACATTTGTCCTCCAAAATGAAGGAAAATTGTTCCAAAGCAGCTATCCAAAACCTGTGAAAAATATTCTTGGGAAACACTCTTTGTTGCTTCTCACTGATTTTGACCGTCACAAAAGATTTCGAAGCATTGAAATGTCCCTCATCAATAAATTTAAGTGTACACCACATTTTTTTAGTCATCTTGACAAGTTGTGTCTCTCACTAATGGAGTCATGGAGAGGAAATCAATTCATTCTCTTTTTTAAACAAGCTAAACAGGTCCGTCCACTTAATTCGTCATCTATATACATACATACGTATACATAACTTTATTTGAATTTGCAGTTTAGCTTTAGTATGATATTGATGAGTGTGTTGGAGATGGAACCTGGAGAACCACTTGGTTTGGAGTTATTAAAAGATTTCCTCACATTTATGAAAGGCTTTGTCTCCATTCCAATTAACCTTCCGTGGACACACCATGGCAAGGCCATCAAGGTACTAATAATTTTTCTTACATACTTTTATTTTTTAATTAAACGTCTCAAGTTTGAATGTATGATTCTTTGTGGTGAGTACAGGCTCGTAGAAGGATCGCATCCACATTGAAACAAATACTAAAAGAAAAGGACTCTTTTAATGAGATAATGTTATTGAAAGGAAAATTAAGTGATGTGGAAAAAGTGAGCATTGTACTAGACCTTCTTTTTGCTGGTTTTGAAACAACCTCTGGACTTTTGTCTCTACTAGTTTATTTTCTTGCTAAATCATCACAAGCTCTTCAAAATTTGAAGGTAAAAGTAACTCTTCAATCATCAAACTAATTTAACATTTATAAAATTATATCAATACCAATTACTTCTCTAATTAATTTATTATATGATCAGGATGAACACCGCACATTAAGGAGAAAGAAAAAGAAGGGGGAACCTTTAAATTGGGAAGATTATAAGCAAATGGAATTCACCATGATGGTATATAATTAATTCTTCTACTTTTTCAATTCAACCATTATGGTAATTCTCTGGATGTTTTCATTTGTATTATAGAAAAATTAAACTCTCATTATAATTCAGGTCATAAATGAAACTCTACGTTGTGGAAATTTGGTGAAGTTTGTACTCAGGGAAGCTATTAAGGGTGTAGACTTCAAAGGTTTGTACAAATTTGTGATAATCTTCATGTCAATGAACTTCCTTCATCATATTGGTGATTTCAGTCGTCATATATAATAAGTATTTCGTCATGAATATATATATGTTTAGTTTTATTTTTGTATAGTGTAATTTTTCTTTTGAGCTACATTATTGTGCTTGAATTCCAGGATATCATATTCCAGCAGGATGGAAAATACTCCCTATATTTTCTTCAATGCATCTTGATCCATCGTTGCATGAAAATCCATCGGAGTTTAACCCTTGGAGATGGGCCGTAAGTTTACCTTTTTCTAGTGAAGCATATTAATTTCAACGGACCATATATAAATTAAGCGTGATTTTTATTTTTTACTATAATAGTAATATTTAGTTACACAATTTATTTTTCTGAAATTCAGGATCCAGCCACAAGCAAAAATGTGACCCCATTTGGTGGTGGATTGCGGATGTGTCCTGGATCCGAGCTTGCCAAATTAGAAGCAGCTTTTTTCCTACATCATCTTGTCCTCAATTACAGGTATTTAATACATAAAAAAAACTCAAATGTACCTATTTATTGTTTAAATATACTATCATCGTCGTTTGCCTTTATCTGATGTTTTTTTTTTATTATATGATAAAAACATTAATCATCTATTGCGTAGGTGGACAGTGAAAGAAGATGAATATCCAATGTTGTGCCCATATATGGACTTCCCAAAAGGACTGATAATAGCTTTGGAGGCAGAAACAACTGATCTTGATGAATTTCTTTAAATATAAAGTTGTTGAATAAGAGTTAAGATTGATCGCTAATCTATTAATCTTATGGAGTAATATTTAAATGTAATAAAACAAATGTTGCAATGCTAAATTGAACTTTTGCTTTTTTTCGCCTTTCGTACTTTTTCAAAAAGTCATGAGCATACTATGTGTGCCATGTTATCACTCAATGCTATAATAATAATATTTTAAAAAAGGAATTCTCCTCAAAACTTGTGCAGAAAAGTCAGTTACACGCTCAAACTATTGTGGCGGCCTATTACACACCTAATCTTGTTCAAAGTGATATTATAATACCCCTTCCGAAGACACTCTCAGTTTTGTGTAAAAAAAGTGTTGTACACGCGTTTTCAGACATAAATACTATTATTTTTAATTTTTAAAAACCTTTATCTCTTGATATTTTCTTAAACTTTTGCAAAAAAATAAAAAATTGAACATCTTCCTCCTCACCATACATTTCTCTTTTTAAAATCTAGTTCTTCTTCTTCTTCTCCATTGTTCATAAATTGAAGGAAAAGATAAAAATTTAAAGAGAAAATAGGAGTCAGTAAATCAATTAAGAAGTATAAAGATGTTGGCGGCGGCGATAGGCGATGGGCAACTCCATTGTTGCCGGTGGAACAAATAAATTTTTCAGATCTGTAAAATTCTTTAAAAATCTTGATAACTATATGTATGTAAATCAAGCATTTCATTATTATTCTTTGTGTGTAATGATTAATCAAATATGCTATTGATGATTTATGACATAAAAATAGAAATTGTGGTGGTTGTAGGCAGTGCTCCGACGAGAATAGAGAAGACAAAGATGGAGAAATCATTTTCTTCAATGAACTTTTGATAAATTTAGGCAATATAATCATGAATTTTATGCATTAATGTTATAGAATTTTCAATAGAAATCATTATCTTTCTCATGATTATTTTTCGGTAACCTTCTCCGGTGAATCCTCTGGCGAGTTCAAATGGAAAAATCATGAAAATTATTAACTTTTCTATGGAAGTCATCATGTTCTCCACTCCTTTCTATTTCTTTTTAAAGTTCCTCTTTAAGGGTAGAGTGTTGGATGTCCTTCCATCAAACAATCAATGATGACAACTGTGGTGATTCCTTAAGAAGAAGAAGAACTCAAAATAAAGAAAAATATAAATGCTTTAAAGAATTGGGGCCACCAATAAAAAAGATTAAAAAAGAAAGGAAATTGAAATAATTAATATATTAAAAATTATAAAACATAATTATATAATGGCCAATAAAATAGTGTCATGTGTTCAAAGTTGTCATTTTAACATATATTTTTTTCTTGTCACGCACCTCAAGGAAGGCGAAGACACTTTTTTTGCCATGTCACGTTCTAAAGGGGTATTAATATCATTTTGAACAATATTAGGTATGTAATAGGTCACCATAATAGTTTGAGTGTGCAACTGACTTTTCGATATAAATTCAGGGAGGATTATATGCCTTTTCCCTTATAAAAAATGACATTTTGTATGATGATAATCAATTAAGTATAACAAATTGTGAAATATTCAATTAAAATAAAATTTTGTACTAAGTAATCAATTTTGAATTTTTATTTTATTATTTAATTAAAAATCATACTTTTTCAAGAGAGTCATCACTAAAGGGTGTAATAATAGCATTTAATTTTTTTAGGAGGGAATTAAAATTCTTGCAAAGGTTAAATTAATGTATGTAACTGAAAATTTAATCAAAGTTCAAAGATTTTTTAAAATGTGAATAGGAGATTATGTGTATAAATATGAATCTTGAATACTCTACAACTATAAAATAAAATGTCATTAATAAATGTCATAATTATCTAGAGTATAGGATTACAAAGGAAAAGAAATAATTATATTAAATTAAATGATCATAAAAGGTCTATTATTTAATGATGTATATTATTATAATGTGAATATATAATTGAATTTATAGCTTTTTTTGGTACATGGATAATTGTATTCCATATATAGAGTCAAGTCAAGGTATTTTTTTAATTAAAAAAAAGTCAAGATACATTACGATTTTGGAAATATAATCATATAATTTCTCCAACTTAATTTTGATGGGTTATATATAAATGATTGACAGGGCATGATAACTCCATACTCTAAACAAAATTGTTAGTACTAAATATTTTTTGTTTATCAAATCATCATGATGATTTTTCTCCTTCCTGTGATATTAGCCTTGTTATTTGGTACTGTAATTTTGGTCTTCATGTTTCACCATTTATTTTTCTTAGTTTATAAACATGATACTAAAAGCTTACCTGGTGGGAACATGTGGTTTCCCTTTGTTGGAGAGGCATTTGGTTTTTTTTCCCCTCATAAATCATTCTCCATTGGTAACTTCTTGCAACAACGTTGCTCTAGGTATATATATTAAATTTTCAGTCTAAATTCTCTTATGTTGTCAATTTGATTTGTTTTGATGTGGAAATTGGGCATGCTGGATCAAATTTAATTAGAATGGACCATTTAACTAAAAAGGGTCAAATCAATCCGTAATCATGGAGGTGTCAAGATAGATTTAATAACGAAATAACCAATCCTTTTTCATTTTTGTTTTTTTCTTCAAAAAAAAGAAAGAAGTGAAAGCTAGCTAGTGTATTTTGCTTAAATTATTATAATTTCGGATCTTCAATTTGATTTTATATGTACAGATTTGAATCGCCTTCTGATTAGTTAGATTATAGTACTTAAACATGTTTTGACCCAATAATTTAACGGGTCATTTTAGAATCAACTAGTTGGGTATTTAGTTCATGACAAACGAGTCATAAGTCCGTTTAAACTTGGGCTTGGTTAGATGAATTTACGAAAAATAGATTTATTTTGCCACGTCTATGACTATGCTCAAGACTAAATGTTTTCTTGGTTGAATTTCAGATATGGAAAAGTGTTCAAATCCTATATTTTTGGGTCTCCAACTATAATTTCGTGTGACTTAAAGCTCAACAAATTTGTCCTTCAAAAAGAAGGCAAATTGTTCCAAAGCAGCTACCCAAAGCCAATTAGAGACATTCTTGGTAAGCACTCTTTGATGATTGTCACTGATGTTGAACGTCACAAAAAGTTGCGACGCATTGAAGTTGGCCTCATCAACAAATTCAGTTCCACATCGAATTTTCTCGGTGGCATTGATAAATTGTGTATCTCATTAATGGAATCGTGGAGAGGAAATCAACTTATTCTCTTCTCAAAACAAGCTAAACAGGTCCGTATAATAAAAATATAACTTTCGTCTTATCAAACACACCCTTAGGGATAACATTCTAATTAATGTGTAATTTGAATTTGTATTTGCAGTTTAGCTTTAATTTGATGTTGATGAATTTGTTGGACATGCAACCGGGAGAACCACTTGGTTTGCAGTTATTAGAAGATTTCCTCACATTTATGAAAGGATTTGTCTCCATTCCAATTAACCTTCCGTGGACACCCTATGCCAAGGCGGTCAAGGTACTTTTTCTTACACTATTTGGCACGAGGGCTCCTCCATCATTAATCAGAGATATCGAAAAAAATCTTGATAAAAAGTATTTTCGGGTTTAACAATTCTTTTTGCTAGCAGGCTCGTACGAGGATTTCAGCCACGTTGAAACAAATACTAAATGAATGGAAAAATAGAAAAGACGTGCAAGTACAAAATGGGCAGCAAAAAGGAGACCCTTTTGATGAGATTTTAGTGAAAGAAGACTTAATTAGTGATGTGGAGAAAGTAAGCATTTTACTTGATCTTTTGTTAGCAGGTTATGAAACAACCTCAGGACTTTTGTCCCTACTCGTCTATTTTCTTGCCCAATCACCACAAGCTCTTCAAACTTTGAAGGTAAAATCAAATATATGTTCAATTTTATAATTCTCTTCTAAATTATAAAATTAGACGTATACTTCTAGACTAATGATTTATCATATGATCAGGATGAACACCTCGCAATAAGGAAAAAGAAAAAGGAGGGGGAACCCCTAAATTGGGAAGATTATAAGCAAATGGAATTCACCACTATGGTAATTCTTCAATCTTCTATTCTTTTCAATTCAACCTAATCAATTGGGCCATATATTTGAACATGTAACCCTTGCATTTCTAGTGTACGTTTTCATTTGATGAACTAATTAAGTGAGTACTTTTTTTTAAACTTCCTCTTATATATTAGTATGAACTATTATCTATGGTTACTTTTTTTTTTTCTTTTTAATATCATTATAATTCAGGTTATAAATGAGACTCTACGTTGTGGAAACTTGGTTAAGTTTGTTCATAGGGAAGCTATCAAGGATGTAAAATTCAAAGGTTTGTGAACAAGAAATCATTAAAGAGCTTATATTATATTTTAGTGTAGATTAAATATGCATAATGCAATATTTCTTTTTATCATTGTGCTTGGATTCCAGGATATCATATTCCAGCGGGCTGGAAAGTGCTTCCTATTTTATCTGCAGTACATCTTGAACCATCGCTGCATGAAAATCCATCGGAGTTTAACCCTTGGAGATGGACCGTAAGTTTTCCTCATTTTGTTCCCATGAAAATTTTCCTAAACCACACGACTTTCAGTAACGCTCCGTGCGGCACTTAATACTTAAAGTGGCATGTCAGGACACTAAGCCTAATAAAATTTCAGGATCCAGCTACAAGCCATAAGGTGGTCCCATTCGGAGGTGGATCCCGGTTGTGTCCTGGGTCCGAGCTTGGTAAATTAGAAGCATCTTTCTTCCTACACTATCTTCTCCTCAATTACAGGTATTTAATATGGCAATCAGTAAAAATAAAATAAAATAACCTTTTACTATTATTTTAATGTATTTCTCGTTATACTATTCATCATCAGTTTTACCTTTATCGCTTGGATAATTTCTAGATTTGCCCTTATTTTAACGGGCTAGATATGATTAGGCTTTATTATCATTAATTTGGTCTCTAAACCTACTAGTTTGAATCTTGATATTTTTTTTAAAAATAAATTAAATCATATTTG